TCCACCATCTCCGTCCCCGTCTCCGGTAGCCGGTAGCCTCCACCATCTCCGTCCCCGTCTCCGGTAGGCTCCGCCTCCATCGTCTCCGTCTCCAAGAATCCATTTAAGATAAAAATCAGTTGGCTAAACTCAAAAACCACCAGCGAGTTTGGGTCATTTGACTGGTAGGGTTACGATTTCTACAATCAGGTATTTCCCTTAATCGATCTCCTCCCAAAGTTCCTCGATCAATTTGTCTTGACTTGGACAGTTGGACTCCAGTATTTCGACATTTAGAGTCGATCGATTCTCAGCAAGCGTCAATTAGGTAAATTGAATGTTTCTGCAAATCGATTCTTGCAACATTTTTTTAGATTGATTGATGATGTAGATTAGGGTTGACTAATTCAGTTTTTGAAGTTGACTAGAAGCTAGTTCCAGTTGATAATTGCTCTGTTTGTTGTTAATTTAGGTCATATAAGTGTTTAAGGTTGAAGTCTGGTCAAGCGATGGAGGAGAACTGTAAGAAGTATGGAATTCTTCTATATGGTGCTTCCTTTGTCCCAAATAATGCACTCAGATCATCTGATCGAAGTGGCATCCCTAATATGAATGAGGGTTAAAATGGTAATTTACTGTCATTCAGAGAACAATTACCAAACAACATTATTTCATTCAACACTTAACCATTCTGGCCCTCTTAACCATTCTGACCACTTAACCATTCTGCACCAAACCATTCAGCAATTGCCAAACAGCCCCTAAAACTAGATTAGTAATCGTGCAATGTAAAAAGATAATGCAGCGAGATACATTTTGATTTTAATGTTTTATTTTATTTTTTGTGTCTGTCGATGCTATAATACGATTTTACGTGTTTTTAGGAAAACAATAATGATTTTATTTTTTAATATAATATAAATTTAAAGATATCATAATTTTTAAAAAATATATATATTAATGTTAATATCATATCAATCATTTAAAAGTTCTCATTTTTATGTAATTTTTTTAATTAATTTATTTTTTATTATAATTTAATTTAAGTTTAATAATAGAATAATTTATTTTTGGTTTAATAATATAACATTTTATAAAGATAATAATTAAATATTCTGTTAGAACTCAATGATCATCCTAATTATGTTTTAGATTTTTTATTTTTAAAATGAGATGTTTATCCTGTATAGGAATGACAACGGGCCGGGTATTGGTATCCCCGTCCCCGAAACCGATAGCTAAAACCGTCCCCGTAACTGTCCCGATCTCCGTCGGGGATCTTATCGGGGATCCCTATCGGGTTCCCGAGTTACCCCAATATCCGTTGGGAACCCGTTAAGGGTAAAAATCATCTTTTTCACCGTTGGTTATAACCGAACCCGAAAACGATCTGGAAAAAATTATAATATGCTAATTTTCACAAGTAAAAGTAAACTATAATTTTTTAAAAGATGTAAGTTTAAATGTCTCAAACATAATCGAACCAATTACAAACAATATATTAGATTATAATATAAAACTAAACAAAAATTCAAACATCATATAATTAAAATCACGATTTTAAACAAATAAACTAGATTTTTTCGTGAGCTTTATTTGAGTTGTTGAGGTAAAGTGGATAAAAGTCTTTTAAATTTTAATGTTACTATTTTCTACTAATGATATTATATATATATATATATATAAATATATATATATGTATGTGTATAATTTAAAATTAATATACATACATATTGGGCCAGGCCGGTGATCACCGTCCCCGCCCCGTCCCGTCCCTGATAAGATGTCCCCGAACCCGACCCGAAAGTTTCGGTTTTTACCATCGGTTTCGGGTTATTTTGCCATCCTTAATCTTGTATTTGATTATGTTTATCTGCAATTATTTATACGAATTCAGATATGGAGCTTTAATAAGTTATAATTATGCACAATATACTTGTAATCTTGAGTTTTAAATAACATACATTAATAAACAGTATTTTATGTATAAAAAATATTTTTTAAGAGTTTTTATTAAATGTTTTATAATATGGTATCATTTTTAAAAAGAAAATTGAAGGACCATTAATCTCAAATATTATAGTTGAGGGACTAAAATTGATCATAAATATACTGAAAGGTAAAGTTAGTAAATTTCAGTCACATTTCTGAATTTAATCTTTCTTCACCCCCTTCCATCGTCACACCGATTACAGAATCGTCACCCCCTTTTCATCTCTCTCTTCACTTTCTCTCTCTATATGTCGATTGTGTATGTATAATTTTGTGTGTGTGTGTTAGTGTGTGTATGGTTCCATAGACTACGCGTGTGCATTCGGGAGAATATTTATATCCGTCCACATACAACTCCTAAATCATTTTGAACTTCTTTCTCAAAACAGTAAAGTGTGTTTGATCGATTCTGAAGGGGGTTTATATCCAAATTGATTTGTAATAATCGTTGATTAGAGTTATTGATGGAGGTTGGAGTGGATAATTCACTGGAGACCGTCGGAGTTGCGATGGAATTTCCGGTCGTCGACGGTACAGGGGTATCATCGCCTCCAACTTTGCCGCCTAGGCTTCGACGGAGACTCACCGAAACAAAGGCTTCTCCTTGTAGTTTTGAAGAAATTGAAGCTAAGCTTCGAGATGCAGATCTTCGTCGACAGGTTAGGTCTCTTTATAGTTTCCTAAATACGTGATTAATTTATCGAATGATCAGGATTCCTTCTTGTTTGCGTTTGTGCTTTTCTGAGACAAGTTCGCTGAACGTGTAAGGTATTATCATATGTATAAAGAAAAAGAAGTCTTGAAAAAACTGCGAGTTTTGTAGTTCTTCTCTTTCTTTTTTATTTTCTTTACTTTCCCTGAAAAAGACGAAACTTGGGAGGTTGTCTTGTCAGAAAATTACGCAAATCACTTAAGTTTACTAATTACTGATTAAGAGCGAGGAAATCATGGACTATTATCTTTATCACAAGTTTATGATGAAGTAAATTTAGTTTATCTTATTACGTGATCATCTTTCATCCTATTGTCGTTTCCATTTTGTTCTGTAAGCTTCTCTTTACTGTTGAAGGTTGTCCCCGAGTTAGGTAAGGTGGTTGCTTCAGAATCTTTACTAATGGTGAATCAAACGAGTCTTAAGTTTTGTGGGTTGTCTTTTAAGCAATAGAAAGAGCATAGAACTATAGAAGATAACTGGGAACTGAGTTTCACGTAACTTTACCAAGTAATCGCTCAAAATTTGTATTCTTTCAAGTTTAATTTTGTCTGTTCTCGGGATCTCTTGTTATTAAATTTTTGGGTAATATGATTACTTAGATTTCAACGCGCTGATTTTTGTTTTTGTTTTTTCCTTTTTCGTTTTGGTTTGCAGAAATTTTATGAGCATTTATCAAGCAAAGCGCGACCAAAGCCCAGGAGTCCTCCACAATCTGCATATGAGGAAAACCTTGGTCAACGTCTCCAGGCAAAGCTCCTAGCTGCTGAACAGAAAAGGTAAAAAATTTCTTGAAGTTTTTCATCTGCTCTTTCTATTATACCGGGACATACTTGCTATGAGTTTCTAAGGTGATCTCCGATTGCGACATATCTATGTCATGTGCTAACAGAAGTTCTAGAATTTACAAAGTTGTTCCATGTGAAGTTTAGGTCATTATCTAACTTTCACCTACTATTCGGCAGCTTTTGTTTGGCAATTGTATTGTCATAATTGATTGGGTAATTGGCTGAATCATCTCTCCCCTCCTCTGTTTCACCTGCCTTTTGAGTGCCTTTTGTTTGCTGCTACTCATTGTGATGGCCAATCATCATCAGAAAAAATCTTCCTACTTCAACATCTTTATAATGTATTTCATGGTATTTGGTTTTAGTCCAAGAGATTTATTCTATTTTGAAATACAAGAGATGATGGAACACGTGTCCACTATTGTCATGATGGAAGGATATTCTGAACATTTAAATAACAGTCATATGTTAATACATGTATGCGGTCAGTTGTTGAAACTTTCATCCACTGGAGAGAATTTTGTTGTTACCATTTATATCAAGTTTTGTTATGACATTTTGCACCTTCACTCTTCTCTTGGGGATTAACGAAATATGTTGAATTGGCCAACTCTAATTATGTGATGTTGGTATCTCCTGTAAATTTTTATGTCATTCCAGTTTGTAGAGATACATTTTTTATTATTTTCCGTTCTATCTTCAATTTTGATAAACGCATATTCCAGAAATAGTGGCTGTCGTTTTATTTTGCTGATGGAGCCATGGCTCTTTGCTAGCGATCATATTTACTTAGTACAATTAATACATCGGTCGAAGAGACGTAACGTAACAATCGTGTTTTGGCAAAACTCTCTCAATCTGGATTGCAGCTCATGTCTTAGTTGTTTAAACTACCAGGTCGAGTATTTTGGCAAAAGCTCAGCTGCGTCTAGCTAAGCTGGATCAGTTGCGACAAGCAGCAAGGACTGAGGTAGAAGTGCGTGTAAAGAAGGAATGTGCAGAGCTTGGTACAAAAGTGGAATTGCGTGTGAGGCAGGCGGAGACGAACAGAATGAGAATCCTAAAAGCCTACAGGCAACGGAGGGCCACATTAAGGGAGAGGACATCTCAATCTCTTACAAGAAGGATTGCACGGGAGAGTAAGTACAAGGAGCGTGTTTGTGCCGCAATTTGTCAGAAGCGCGCAGCAGCTGAGAAGAAAAGGTTGGGATTACTGGAAGCTGACATGGAAAAGGCACATGCTAGGCTTTTACAAGTAAGAAGGGTAGCCAAATCAGTCTCTCAGCAGCGAGAGATTGAAAGGAGGAGATTGAGAGAGAGAGTGGAAGATAAGCTACAAAGGGTATGCATGCCTTTTTATATTGTTCTTCGATACTTGCGTTGTACTTTGGAAACACATCTCTAGAATTGGCGAATGAACTTATTTTGGGAAAATGATGTACAGGCAAAGAGACAGAGAGCAGAGTATTTAATGCAGAGAGCCAGACTACATAATTCTATAGGTGTTAATTGGACCAAGAAAATGCAGAAGCAAGCTGACCATCTTTCTAGAAAATTAGCAAGGTACACGTGCTAAAAATAAACTTTTGATCTTTGTGTGACACACAAGAAAGCATGATGGACATAGGATTAGAGTTGGTACTTCTTATTTAAAATTTCTTTTTGACTGTTCAGCTGGATATGCATTTATAAGATGTATGTTGAATTCTTGTATGAAACTAATTTTACTACTTCTGTTAGGTGCTGGAGAAAATTTCTTAAGCGGAGGACCACCTTTGATTTGGCCAAAAGTTTCTCTGTTCTAAACATCAACGAGGATCATGTAAAATCAATGCCATTTGAGCAATTTGCACTTCTGATTGAAGCACCCTCTACGCTTCAGACTACAAAAGCATTACTTGAACGGCTGGAGATACGTTACAAAGCTTTGATGGGCACCACATCTAGCATCAATTTCCATGGTCAGGATGACATTGATCACCTTCTTAGACGAGTTGCTTCACCTAGTAGAAGGACCACACCTAGAAGAATCAGCCGTGATAGACATCTAAAGAAACCAGTGACCACCAGAACAGTCCCCAAAACACCTGTCAAGTTATCAAGATACCAAGTTAGAGTAGTGCTATGTGCCTACATGATTCTGGGTCATCCTGATGCTGTTTTTAGTGGCCAAGGGGAGCGCGAGACTGCTTTAGCCGAGTCTGCCAAGAAGTTTGTCGAAGAATTTGAGGAGTTGATCAATATAGTAGTAGATGGACATCTGCAGAACTCTGGTGAAGAGTCTAAATGTGCATTTCCTAGACACACCTTCAGGTCACAGCTTGCAGCTTTTGATTCTGCATGGTGTTCTTACCTGAATAGCTTTGTGGTATGGAAGGTTAAGGATGCCGAGTCTTTGGAGGAGGATTTGGTGAGGGCTGCATGCCAGATGGAAATCTCTATGATGCAAAAGTGCAAGCTGACACCTGAAGGAGATGGTGCTGATCTTACACATGATATGAAAGCTATTCAGAAACAGGTCCTGCTACATGCCTTAATTTCTTCTATTTTAATATTGTGATTGTAGATTTATCATACGGATTTCAATTTTTGTATCTTAAAAGGCGTTTGACTTTCCTGAATACAGGTTACTGAAGATCAGCAACTCTTGAGGGAAAGAGTAATGCACCTGAGTGGTGATGCTGGGTTAGAGCGTATGCGGAATGCTCTTTCTGATACACGAATAAAATACTTCCAAGCAAAGGAGAATGGTAGCCCCATTGGGTCACCAGTTGCACATATACCACCATCTCCTTCCTTGCGGCTAACACCAAATGCTGCTGACTCTGACAAAAGGAACAAAAATGAAGAGACCAACCGTGTGGTTCGCTCCCTATTCAAAGATGATGCTTCCAAGCCACTGCAAAAAGATGTTGGCTCCTCTACTGCTAGCAGCAAATCTCTAGAAAGCCAGGTATATCAATCTGGTGAAATGCTCAGCATGGAGAACGAATTGATCGTAAATGAATTTGTTCATGGTCAGCATTACTCATCTGCCACCAGTTCGAATGTTACTGATGAAGACCAGACAGTGGTCAAGGTTAGTTTGTTTGGATAAAGATATCTACAGGTTTTTCGATTTTTTCTTCTAGTTTTTGTTTGTTTCTCTTATTATTTTTTACAATATTGCTGCCTCTGACCCCAAAAAATGCAACAAATGTGTTGATACATAAGTTAACAAGTCTTTGTTTGATGATCAAATATCTAAAATACCTTCTAAGAAGACAAAATTGAGAAAATTTGTGAACTGCAATCACACAAGGATTTCATTCTGTCTCTTTTTGCTTCCCACCAAGTCTTCACTGGCATAATGCATACTTAAATAGGAGTAGGCAGGATCACACTAGTAATTCTATAGTGATTGCTGATGGACAAATAGGTAAAATTTGGGAACTGGTCTTTCCCCAAAAAAAAAAAGGAAACCTTGCTTTTTTGTGGCATAACCCCAAATACCAAGTGATAACAAAAAAAAATTAGGGTTATCATAAGAAACTTGCTGAAGCTCTTCACCTTTGCTGATCACAGGTACGACAGACGATGGAAAAAGCTTTTTGGGATGATATAACTGATTCTATACGGCAGGATAATTATGATCGTGTTGTTGAACTGATGAAGGAAGTGAGGGATGAACTTTGTGAGATGGCTCCTCAGAGTTGGAAACAAGAGATTATGGAAGCTATTGATGTGGTTATTCTTTCTCAGGTGAACATCATATGAATTACTCTTGGGATATCTTTATTTACCATTTTCGTTTATTTTTTATTTGCTTAGATTGCTGAAACATTTGTTATCTTCCTTCGTAGTTGTTGAATTCCGGCAGTTTAGATATGGAGTATCTTGGAAAAATCATGGAGTTTGCATTGGTCAGCCTGCAGAAGCTTTCAGCTCCAGCAAATGAAATCAATCTTAAGGATGCCCACCAAAACGTTTTAAGAGAACTAGCTGATATATGCCGAGCAGACGATTCTAACCATTCACATGCGATAGCATTGGTCAAGGGTTTGCGCTTTGTCCTCGAGCAGATACAGGTATTTATTTTGTGCTTATATAATGTCTTTTTTTAATAAAAAAATTTAGAAATGTGGAAATTACTATATTGCCCCTCATTTAATTGGAGTCAACAGAGAAAATTAACTGACATTAGTGAGGGATGAAATCTGTTGGATTTGGCAAAAGTGGGGTACAAATTTGTAATAGATCATGATTAGGGACTATTTTCATTAAAAATGGCAAACGTTAGGGACCAAGTCTGTCTAAAATTTACTCTCTTTAAAATAATATCAATAAAAATTAATAGGACATATTATTTCAGAAGTGTAATAAAAGATTTGTCGAGATGCCCAAAAGCGTTCTATAAACTTATTGCAATGCTTTTACAGGGGATGCACAATTATTTGGTCTTATAAACCTAAGTCATGTAAAAGCAGTCTATCAGGACGCCTGGACATTATTGCCTATAAACCCGATTTTGTTGTAGTGGATATACCGGGTTTGTTTTCCTTTGGTTTGGTTTTATTTGGTTATATGAGTTCTCAGTATGCAATCTCTCATGTCCTATAGGTGCTCAAGCAAGAAATTAGCAGCGCTCGTATTAAGATTATGGAACCGTTACTAAAGGGGCCCGCTGGGTTAGAATACCTAGGAAAAGCGTTTGCAAAGCGGTTTGGTCCACCATCTGATGCGTCCACTCGTCTTCCATGGACCATGAGGTGGCTTTCATCTGTAGGGCCCAGCTACGATCAGGATTGGAGTGACCACACACAGATCCTTTCGGGTTTGCAGGGTGGTTCACCATCGGAGAAGTTTGTTATGCCTTCCACTGCTCTTAGAACTGGTGGAAGCTTCTCTAGTGGACTGCAAACTTCAACTCCTATTTCTGTAACAGATGCTGCAGGTAACATATCGATCACCACTTGATTCGACTAGTTTGAGATTCATGTTGCAAAAAAGTTGTTAATTTGACCAACACCATTGTTTTTCTCCAGACAATCAATTCCCAGAATGCAAGGGAGAAAAACGAGATCTGCTAGTGAGGCTTGGTTTGATGAAGCTGGTGAATGATGTTTATGGTGTGACACAGGAGGAGTTACCTGAGACTTTGAAGCTCAACTTTCTTAGGCTAAGGGTCATTCAGGCTCAACTTCAGAAAATCATTGTGACTGCTACCAGGTAGGCCAATATCACCTTTATCCTGTGTTGGAGTCCCACATTGGCTAAACTTCGACCATTTCTACTTTGGGACCTCTATTCTCTCCTTAAGGGCTGTTTTGGGGAGTAATCTAATGGGGTTCGATATATTCTCACATGGTGTTAGAGCTGACGTCTATCACTCTAGGATTCTGACACTTTGGAACAAATCGTGCCCGTCTAGTCTCCATTGGCCATATCGGCTAGACTTGGATCATTTCTTTTCAATATATTTTGGAACCTTTCTTCTAATTCTTCTAGAGAGTAGTCTAATGGGATTCCACATATTCAGACATGGTATCAAAGCCATGCTCTTGGACTTTACACTCTGTGGCAACCCATCTAGCCTCCTCTTGACACTCTCGGACAACTTGTGCGCATCTAGCCTCAGTTGGAGAGGGCGTGTTGGAGTCCTAGATTAGCTAGACTTGGACCATTTCTCTTAAATATATGTTAAAAACCTCTCCTCTTCCAAATGGCTTTTTTGGAAGTAGTCTAATGGGGTTCTACATATTTTTACACTTCGGAATAATGCTTGATATCTAACCAATTTTGTGTTGTGTGTAGCATTCTAGTCCTTCGACAAACACTTCTAATGGAACAATTGATATCAAACCCCGAGGACATGGAGAGCACGCTGCAACGATGTTCTACACAGCTCTTGCAGATTCTGGACACGGTGGAGAGCGCAGGCCTTGAGGAGATCGTTGAAGTTCTTAGCAAAACCACAGATGGTTTTGATCAAACCAACGATCCAACAAAAACCAAGTCCAGAAGACTTGTGATGGCTAGAATGCTAAGAAAAAGTGTACAAGCCGAGGACCCTGTTTTTGTCAAGGTGTCTAGAGCGGTGTATTTGGCTACCCGAGGGGTTGTACTTGGCGGCGGCGGCAACCGTGGAAGACAACTGTCGGAGATGGCGCTCCGGCAAGTGGGGGCGGCTGCTCTGAGTGGTAGAGTGGTGGAAGCCGGGAAGATGTTGGGAGTTATGGCGAGTGTAAGCCAGAGTATTCATGGCCCGTGGTATGACCACTTGATCAAGAACGTGTGAAAAAAGTGCGAGTATTGGAGTTGTTTGGTTTGTACATAAACGTGGTTTGGGGGGTTAAATACGTGATTTGTGTAGAGTAGCAAATAGAATGTATAAATTGGGCACTGAATCCATCCATATATGTAAAGGGAATGAATAAACGATACTCGTATGTCGATATTAAACTCTCGAGAACGGTTGGATGTTCTGCTCTTGAGGGGGGTTATCGGCATTCGAGATTTGGTAATGGTTGTGAATGCAGGCATCCTTATCGCTCTTGGTCGTAGCAAGTGGTATCGTTGTAACGGCATCTAGGAATTCGTTACTCCATCGCCTCTTAAATGCAATTCCGAATGTAGTCCTTGCCTAATTGCACTCGAGCCAAAAAGGACCACTACACGATAGAAATGGTAAAATGTTGGTTATGATCCTTTTCCGGTCAAAGAGCATTAGTTATCATGTAACCACTTGCGACATAGCTCGTTTAGTCCCTTGATCGGTTCATATGGAATGCCGAAAGGTCGATTTCGGTTCATATGGAATGGCTGAAAGGTCGATTAAAAAATGCATCCTATCTGGTTAATCCATAACTGATTCCATTACATTTGATGGTTAAATTTATGTGATTTTATTAATAACGATTTATGTGATTTCATTCCGTCCCACCAAATATATTGTTTTAGATCACGATACATTTTGGTAGAACCTGGATGAATTGAGAAAGGAGAATTGTGCGTTTCATTCAATACAACTTCTTTTGGTTCGGGATCTTTGGGTACACAAAAACGATCCTGAAACCAAACTATACCTTGGCCATCGACTTGAAATTTATTTTCTATACAAGAGACCAAATGCTACCATCATAAATTTAACTCCTCTTCGGAGAAGTGTTAAAGGAAATGCGATTCGAGAAAAGTCTTCAACAAAGTGTCGATAATATCCTGCCAGACCTAGAAAGCTCTGAATTTCAGATATATTGGTCGGTTTCGGCTAATGAGCCACATTCTCGACTTTGGCAGGGTCGATTTTTATGCCGTTAGGGGAAACAATATGTCCAAAAAAAAAGACATGATCTAACAAAAACTGACGTTTGAAGAGTTTAGCATATAACCACTCCTCTGGAAGAATACTATTGGCAATACGAAGATGCTTCGCATGATCAGCTGCAGACTTAGAATACATCAGAATATCATCAATGAAAACTATAGTGAACTCATCTAAATAATCCTTAAAAGACTCGATTCATTAGGTACATGGAAACATCCGGAGCGTTAGTTAACCCAAATGACATGACAACAAATTCAAAATGGCCATACTGGGTTCTAAAAGTTGTTTTAGGAATATCTTGTTATCGGACATGCAACTGATGATATCCCGATTTGAGGTGAATCTTAGAAAAGAATTTTACCCCTTGGAGTTGATCAAATAAGTCATCAATACGGGGCAAGGGATACTTATTACGTATCGTCACCTTATCTAACTCGCGGCAATCGATACATAACTGCATTAACCCGTCTTTCTTTTCATAAAAAGAACTGTGTTCCCCACCGTGATACACTGGGGTGTATGTATCCCTTATCCAACAAATCTTGTATCTGCTTCTTTAGCTCCTTCATTTCTGATGGAGCCATTCGGTATGGCTGTTTCGATGTTGGAGCAACTCTCGGAATTAAGTCAGTAGTGAACTCCACAGTGGGAGGGAGTACAGGAATTTCATTCGAAAACACGTCTGAAAATTCATTCACTATAGGAATAGATCCAAGTTCGAGAAGTACCTCATCGGGGTCTTATAGTGCTGCAAGGAAGCCTTCAGATCCTGGCCATGCAAAAGATTCAACCGAAAAAAAAGATACGACTTTGGTTCCCTGCTTTGATTCAACTCTGTGATAGATGCTATCGGGTTGGCTCAAATCTCCGAGAATGACCCTCTTTGTATCGCATTAAATGGTTGTTCGATGTTTGGACAACCAATCCATGCTGATAATGAGTTCAAAATATTTCATATACATAGGAAGTAGATTCACTTCCCGGACACAATCAACAATCAAAATAGGACAGTTTCAATTTCAGACAAAATGCAAACCAAACTACCCATTGGAGTAGTAATATGCAGTGGAGTCAGTTAATTTCTCAAATGGGTCTTCTAGAGTATCACATTGAGTGGGTTGCACCCATATCAAATAGTACATACATAGATATGCCATATAAATTGAGCTTATCGGACACCATACCTGCAGTAGATTTGTCAGCACGCAAAGCAAACACCCGTTCACCACTGTAGACTGCTTTCCTTTCTCAGGTGTCTTATCTTTTTTACCCTGTTTACAGTCTCGGGTCAAATGTTCTTTCTGTCCATAATTGTAACAGGCCTGTCATCCTTAGACACGGATTTGGTCAAAGTGTTATATTGCACTCCTTGCACTTCTGGGGAGGATTGGTATTAGAAGAGTCTTTACTAGATACTCCTTAAAAAGATATTGGTGATCTGAAATTAGAAATTTTTCCTGAGACTGCACATCACGATCTCGTTTCTTTCCAGAATCTGATTTCAAAGAATAACTCACCTGTCGAGTCCGATCAATGTTTCTTGCCGCGTCTGCAACCTGACCAACTGAAGTAAACTGATGGTTCAAAAGTAGACTCTTGTATCGATGGCTCATAGTCCACTTGAACTTGTCAACCTGATGTTACATAGCACCTGCTCTGATTCCAGCAAACCGAGCTAATCGTAGAAATCGAGTCTGATAATCGATAATATATTCATATTCTCATTTTGAATAGTAGCGTACTCCCGGATGTAAGCATCTTTGTCGACTGCTGTGAAGTAATGTCGGAAGAAAATTTCTTTAAACTGATTTTCAAGTATGACTTTCAGCTATAGGATTGCTTTTGAGTCCAAGACTCCCACCAGTTATGGGCATCTTCCTCGAGTTTATATGAAGCAAACTTTTCTTTGTATTGCTTTGGACAACCTAGAACCTTGAAAATTTTCTCCAAATGTTGAATCCAATTCTTAACATCTATCGGGTTAGTGACAGAAGTAAAGATTCATGGTTTTGTTTATTAAACTGCTTGACCAAACATGAATTACAGACTGATTAGTACTCTGATTAAGTTCTTGACTTTGCGCTCTAGTTCCAGTACCTACATCATTTAGGGGGGGGGGGGGGG